AAAAATTTATTAAACAATAAATTTTTATGCTAAAAAATTACTTTAAAAAAAATAAATAAAGTTGTCCCAAGCGAAACCCCTAATATTCTAACAACGTGCACGTACAAAAAATTTAATTTTGTAGTAAAAGAATCCATTATTAAGCATAAACAGGATGCTTATACATATGTGGAGATCAAACAATATATTAAATCATTGAAAGAGATGAAGCAACAAAGATCTCCTTTCAATCTTTCATGCTGCCTTGCAACAAAGATCTCTTTCAGATGCATCGTTTCACATCTACGCAACGCTAGGTGCTGCTTACGTTTTATACATGTTTCGTTTGGGACAGTTTTTTTACTATTTCTTAAAGCGGTTTCCTAGTAGGTAGCTGCTGCTTTAGCGGTTTTCTAGTAGGTAGCTGCTGCTTTAAGAATCAGTAAGAAAGTCATCCGAAACAAAATCTTAGGTTTCATTTGGGACGACTTCTTTACTGCCTCTTAAAACAAAAAGCCGTCCATTAAATTTTGTTTGGGATAGTTTCTTATTAATTTATAAAGTTGTTGCAGAGAAAGTAGTTGTTTAAAACTGTTGTGGAAAGCATCTTCCTAGTACAATTTTTTTAAATAGTGAAAAAACAGCGGCCAAACAAAAATGTGATTGCAGTTTGAAAAACAAAATAGTAAGAAAGTTATATCAGACGAAGCCTTTGTTATATCAGTTGCTCTATATCAATCTACTTATATACTGAAAGTCTTAGACAAAATGAAGCCTTCGTGTGCAGCTCTTAAAATCTTAGCCTAAAGAGTTACGGGCTGTGAAGCTTGATAGCCTTCTTGAATGTATCAAGCTGCTTAAGTCCTAAAGCCGTAAAGGCAGCTCCTGCTGAGAAAATTTTCTTTTTTGGTTCTTTAGTTTGATGGGTCTGTTGTTTACATTTGTATATCAGGTTTCTATTTGTTTTTTTCTTTTCAAGTGGAACAGTGGAAGTGTGCTATTTCGGCATTTCCTGTAACTTTTGCAGCACATTAAAAATAGTACAATAAACAAGTAAAAAAAAGCTTATGAAGTAGAACTGACAGCAAAATCTAAATCTTCTAAACATAAATAAACTTTCAGCAACAGTTTCTCACCAAATTTTTTCAAAAGAAAATTTTCATCCAACGTTTCGCTTGGGACAATTTTCTTATTATTTTATGAAGCAATTTTCTTATTATAAAATGTATACATTTATATAATATATAGATCTTAAGGATACTGAAGAGGTATGGTTGTGAACGATCCAGTGTTTTAGCACTTCAACTTCCACTCCCATTTGTGTTCTTTGACTTTTTAAGTTGAATATTATTGTCATTTGAAGTGTAATATCTCCTAAAAAATCAAAATATTATGTATCAAAATCTCAATTTAAAATTATATTCAAAATATTCATTGTTGAAGTATTGTGATTTAGAATATTATGTATTTTATTGATAAACATATCATCATTACATCATCTAAGTGATATTAAAATAATTTTGATATTTATTACGCATCTGATTCAACCATTGTTAATCCTTTAAAGCTTGATGTTTCGTTTGGGATAGCTTTAGACTGTTGTTTTTTTTCCTACTTTCAATAAATTTTTGTGCTAAAAAATGGGTTTACATTACAAAACAGTGAGAAAGTCGTCTCAAACGAAGCCTGAATCTCTATTGCTCCGCTCAATGATCAGTCCGATTTTCGAAACCCTGAATAATATAGCTTTGCTCTTAAAGAACTTTTGGATATTTTATAGTTGTTGGAATCTAAGTAATAAAGTTGGTGAAAGGCATTGATTCATCAATCTCATCTTCACAAAGGGGAATCAAGACTCACATCTCACACCCATTTGTTTGGATGAAATTCGGTCTTCAAAGGTTTTCAAGTAAAGTAAGGCTTCCTTTATTTTATCCTGCGGTCCCCAACGTTTTTTTTTTCCACCTGCCAATCGCTTCCTCATTTGCATGAATCTGAATCCTTTTCTATGCTTCTGTGTTCACAATTTAGATTCTTTTTCAAATATTCCAAACTTCTCAACATTTGAAAGACACCCTATTGATATTCTTAGGCCTATTGGTATTCTTTTAGAGGATTTACATGCATGCATGTCATATAATTTTATGTATATTATGGATGAGTTGATTATGATTTTATAGATATATGATGAAAGATAATTTAAGCATAATACATTAAAATTTTTGTGATTTAGGGTTTAGGTTCGTTATAGAATATAAATTAGAAAAATATTTAGAAATTATTGATTGCATTTAATATAGTTTTATCGTGCTATATCGAGTTATGAATGTAATATAAGATCTATATATATTATATAAATTTATACATTATGCAAGTATTGTCGGTAAAATATTTTTCGATATTGACTGGTACTACAACAAAATTCACTAAATACCGCCGGCTTTTACGGCGGTTATTTGGTCGCCGAAATTACGGCAGTTAGACCGCCGGTATAAAGCAGAGGTTATACTAGCGGGTTGACCGCAAGAAATGCCGCCGGAATGTTCTATCTACAACGCATTTACCGGCGGCCCTACTGCTGGTTTTAAGTGACTAATTTTCGGTGGCTTAAGCCATTGAAAATGTTGTCGCCGGTATTCACCCTAATACCCATGCCGTTGGAAATTTCTGTCGGTATTGGATGATTTTCCTGTTCTGTGGCTAGAACAGAAGTTCGCAAAAGTGACAACTTTTTATAGAACTTAAAATGTTTTTCAACCTAGGTCTCTGTGAGATTGTTTAGGTCATGATTGGTCCATATTCTAATTTAATGTGTAGTTGCTTGAGCCAAGTCAAGTCTAATGAATGTGCTAGACTAGGTTAAAGATTCAAGCCTATTACGAGTACATGCTACTTGTGTAGATAAGCTAAGGATATAAGGGTTGCCATCCGATGGGTACACGAAAGTGACGAACTTGCTTTGACTACTGAACCATGCTTGTCTGTTGGAGCGAATTGGATTAGTCTAATGAGTATGATAGGGCCAAGTGTGTTCCTCTTCCTCATACCTTGAAATTGTAGACAGGGTCAAGGTAAGCCCATATGGTTCATATTAGCCATTTAACATCGTATAGATTCTATGTTTGCATCAAGGTGTTTAACAATAAGGTTAATGTGCTCCAACACTTTGACTACTTTGACTAAGATAAGTGCACATAAATTTTTTTATCAATAAATTTATAACAAATCACATGACTCATAAAAATAAAAATATGATAAAATATAATTATGTGAAGTTTATTTTAAGATATATTAATTTATTTCCTATAAGAACATTATCTTCCCAATAATGAATATTTTTTATTATTATTTTGAGTTTAAAAATATATAACATGATGCTCTCTTTAAAATGTAAAGCTTTGTTTGGGACGACTTTCATATTGTTTTTTAAAAAAACTTTTTAGTTAAAAAAATTAATTTTTTTATATTATAAAGCTACTTTAAGAAACAATAAGATAGTCGTCTCAAAAGAAGCATAAGAGAACAGGCAAAGCAAGTGCCATCTACAACACCTATTCAACCATGATTTCATTGTTTCCCGTGTTGGGGAATGCAGAGTAATACCACTATAACGAAATAAGCAATAAAGTAAAAGCAGCATAAATATAAAGGACATCATGATTTAACATTAAAAACCCCCAAAATAGGAAAAAAAAACCACAGAACCACACCATATCAAGAAATCCACTATGAAAATTGGGAGAAATAAGTACATATATTTCTTCTCTATCACTCTCTCTTTGCTTTTCTTCTCACATGCACCTTTCTCAATGTCTACCTTAAAAAAATACAAGAGAAAGTCAAGTTGATAACCCCAAAGGACGCAACCCTTCAGAAGAATGAGAAATGTTCAGTTCATCTCATAGCATTGGACTGCCAATTTGGGGCAATGCGATGCTCAAGCCTCTATCTGATGACGCTGCGGCGCTCAAACTCACAGTACTACGACAAAGAACTTAATTTTAGCACTATTGTGTTGAATCCAGAGCATTGGGCACTCTTTTCTATGTCGATTAGCGCTAGGGCGCTGAGGAACACAATGTCGGGCGCTCAGGTACACAACGTCGGGGGCGTGTTCAAGGGAAAAAAAAAGGTGCAAAGCACCCAAACCCAAGCAGGGGGTAAACCCCCCGCGCCCCCTAATGAGCACGAGAAACTTGGGGTCCAAGACAACAGAACAATCCGATTGATCAATACAATCAGATACCACACATAACATGCTACACCCCAAAAAATATGATTTTCTTCCTCTTTATAATACCAGAGGATACATGCACACACATCTACTTCTATAACTTTAGTATCTTTAGGGCCGTAGGGAATCCCACTCCATCACCAAGCAAGTATCCCATGGATCAAATCATTCCCAGAATAATCAATGGATGGTCTGAAAATTTATGTCTTTGCCGAAAAGATTGATGCAGCTAAACAACTCTTTCTCATCTTCTCAAAGAATATAAGCAATGGTTTCAACGTCATAAAGAAATGATATGATGCCTATGTGAATATCAGCTAAGTTATTTTAGAAGTTATTAATAAGAATTTAGAATTGAATTTCTGCTGCATAAATAATATGATGACCCTCCTATATATGATCATGCCATTGTAAGTAAGGTATATGCATTTTTTTTTTTCATCTGATCATTTAGGCTTCATTTGTGACAACGTTCTTAGTGCTTTCAAAAGCATATTTTTAGTATAAAATTTTCTTGAATTAATTTTTTTTTACAAAACAATTGCTTTAAAAAGCAATAATAAAGCCGTCACAATAGAAGCATTGTGACAACTTTATTATTTCTTTCTAAAGCAACTTTCTGGTACCAAAAAGAAAATTTTTGTACTAAAAATTTACTTTGAGAAGCAATAAGAAAGCCGTCCCAAACGAAATGAGTTGTGTGGGATGGAATACTGTTGATGTCGTGTGCTGCATTATAAGTAGCGTGCCTTCCCTACTCTCTCAACAACCTCACCTCAGAGTTTTCTTCACCATAGACTGATTTCAATGGATGGCAGAGCTGAGTCTTCTGAGACAGTAAGGTATAGGAATTGATATGTTATTATGTTTGCAGATCTGAGAATGTTTTTTGCTTGTTAATTTCTTCTTTATCCTCCCCCAACCCTTTCTCTGGCTATTTGCAAACCCACATAACATATAATTTTCTTCTTGAAATTTGATAACTGATGGAACATATAGATCTATTAATTAAAGATAGAAAATGAGATATGCTTCTCTAAATTTCTATGTAGTATGATTTTACATAGCTAGCTGATCAATTGGCTTGCATTGGCTAGGAACAAGTGTGCTGCTTGCTTTAGGCAATATAATAAAAAGGAGCACCTGGTTGAGCACATGAGGATCTCATTCCACTCTCCACATGAGCCCACATGTGGCATCTGCTTGAAGCATTGCCGGTCCTTCGAGTCGCTTCGAGAACATCTCATTGGTAAGAATTCAAAATATTTTATTAATAACCATATAGTAGAAGGTGATGGACATTCATCGATCGAATTAAAAGGATAAATGAATGATATCAGACTATTTCTAAATATTTCAATACCATCGATTATCATGCCAAAAGAACACTACAGGAAAACTTTGTATTACTGTCGGACTTTCCGGCAGAAATAAATATGTTGGTAAAAGCGGCGAACAAACTGGCGCATTTTGCATCGGTACCTTAACTACGATAGTTCCCATGGATTTTCCACTGGCCTAGTCGTCGTTATTTATAAGACCGGCAGTTTATTCTGGCGTATTGTCCGCTAAAACTTAACGGGGAATATCTGTCGGACAACTTTTTGCTGGAAATTCGCCGGAAAATGCATTTTACAGACGGATTTCATCCGCTAATAACCGCCGATTTTCGTGTGGTGGAACCAACTCTCAAATGAATAGAGTTTACGTAGCAGTCACCCACTTTTAAATATTGCTCAATACTCATAGAATAACTATATTCACCTTCACTTTTGTTATAGATGATATTCTATTTCAGAATCTTTACAATAATTTCTACCATCTTTATCAACTAATGTATACTCTTTTCTTTGTGAAGGGCCTCTGCCAAAGGTAGAATGCGCGAAAGTGTTCAGCAATCAAGGCTGCAACTTTTGCTTAAAAATCTTTGAAAGCCAGCAGGCTCTCAGGATTCATCGAGGATCATGCCAAGTCACACGAGCCACTCCAGTACATAATAAACTAGCCCTTCTGTTGATCAAAACAATCAACTTTTTGCAGTAACGGTCATTATTTTTTTTTATTATATTATCGATACTACTTGCCAATAGGTTTTAAGTTCCAGTACTTCAAGGCCTACCGCGCAGAATTTCATGGATATCGATTCAAGAATGCAAAGCGCTAGTGTTGTTGCACTTAGTTGCGGAATGGTTGGAGGAGGAAGTGATGGCTCCTTAGACATCTGCGCTCGGGTTTGCCTTATCGATCAAGAAGAAAACATTATATTTCATACTTATGTGAGACCTCAAATTCCTATCACAAACTATAGGTTGGTACAATTGGTGCTATTGTACAAGTAGACTACAAAGAAAAATATTATACTAATCAGTAGGAAATATTAACTCAACAGGTATGAGAGAACTGGTATCAGTCCTGAATGCTTGAGGGATGCAATGCCACTGAAGCAGGGACAAAGGAAAATCCAGGACTTTTTATGCAATGGAGAACCCATATGGAAGGTTAGATCAAAGGTTACTAGAGCAAGGATACTTGTTGGCCATGGCCTTGATCATGATCTTGAAAGCCTGGAGATTGAATATCCTCAATTTCTTATCAGGTGCTATGTAAATTGCTTGTTTTATTCAACCATTTTAATGAGTTTGAAATTGCAAATAACTATTAATTTACAGGGATCTGGCTAATTATCCACCAATGATGAAAACTAGCAAGCTAAGTAACTCATTGAAATACCTTACACAAACTTATCTTGGGTAATTACAAAACCGTTCTCATGAAACTTTTTAATCTTTTTTTTCCTTGCTATATATTTACAATGAATTTGGATAGATATGAAATACAAACTGGAATCCAAGATCCATATGAAGATTGTGTGGCAGCAATGAGGCTCTATGGTAGATTGAAAGCTCAGCCTCATTCTGGAGAGAATGCTTCAGGGTCTGGAGAAGTTCAGAATAGAAATAATTTCCCTGCATGGAGACAGAGAGAGCTGGAGAATATGAGCCCAGCAGAATTATTAGAGATTTCAGCCTCTGATTATTACTGTTGGTGCTTGGACGCTCAAAGAGTGTAATTTGCAAGTAATCTTGCTGTTGTATCTATGAAGAAACTATATGATACTGTTGTGTGGAATAATGAAATTTATAAGAGGTGCTTCTGAGATATGTCGAAATGCTCGATAGAAAGATAAAAAAATACACTATCTGCCTACTTTGTTGTAAGTGTAGCTAGTGAGTACGATCACCATAGCTTTCTTCTTAGTATAATGGGTATTTGGTATCAGTGTTATAGACAACTTAGTTATACTTCTTTAAGTAGCATTGCAAAATAAAGAAACAACTATGGCATACTTAAATAGAATGAAGCATTTACATAGGGTGGGGAAATTGCTAATTGAAGATGTCTAAGATTCTTCTAATGAAACTAGAATGAAATGTATTGAACTTTGTGACTCAAAAATAACAAATTTAAAGAAGGCTTATTCATTATTCGTTGAAATATGTTGACTAATTATTTCTAAAGGGATATTGATTGTTTGAAGTGCTTTGTTTATCATAGGATTAGTTGATAGCCAATCATTGGTTTGAATTATTATCTCACCAAAGGTGCTGACATAAACTTGACTCGGATTCTATCTAATTGGAGGTAAGTGAATTTACCCAATGAACTCAATTTTGATAAAGGCCTAAATGGTACCACCTACTTCGTGTTGTACAGAAGAATGCAAGTCGATTAACCACCGAAAATAATTGATAGGTAAGTAGGGCCAAATCAGCCTTAATGAAAAAGGACGCAATTGCACTTCTTGAATTATATTAAAATCAATTTTAAATAAAACTGGAAAATAATTTGAAAAATTAAGCTCTCATAAAAAAATTTAAATGGATCCCACTCAATTTATCAACAAGCTATAGCTTGCCATTTCATAGTTCTATGTTAATTAGAATGTAGAATGATTTCTATTTTTTTTTTTAACATTATTGATATAAAATTAATTATACTAATGTGAAATGATATGGGCTCTGAAAATTCATGTCCCGACCTCTCCACGGATCCCTTTCTTTCTTTCTTCGGGCTGTCGTGGAAATCGAGGCAAATTTTTAGAAGGCAGATTGAATTGTGAATATGATATCACCTAGAGATTTCGCCCTCATTTTGCGAGAACTTTATGATCCCGAGTTCTGGTTTCCTATAGGCGCAAGCCCCTATAGTTAATTACCCCTCTTGATAACGAGAGAGAACTTTCGATTAAGGCTAGTCGTCAAACAGATATGTGGTATCTTACGTATAGTGGAAACATGATTTGGTATTTGAAGTTTAATATTTAAAATTAAACTTTTCATCATCTTGCACTTAAAGCAGATGGTGGGATAATGAATGATGGGCCCGATCAAGATCCCATGGTTCCGTGGTCCCGAGCCATCTTGGTCCCTGATCTACGTAGTTAGAGGAGGCAGTCGACCCAACTTGACAGAAATATCCTTGTTAGCAATCATGGCTTGCTTCGTCCAAGGGTACCTTGTAGATCTGAGGTGGATGTTTGTCTAATGGGATAAATTTGAATCCACCTTAGCTGATAGAATGCTTAATGCCCTAGTGATTATATTTTAATGCTTTATATCTCAAAGAGTTACTGTCATTAGAGAGCATATGGGCTCTAGCCATGGCCGTAATTTAGTGGTGTCATTTTTCGGCAAACCACCAAGTTTAGGAGGCCCTGGTCATAATTGTTTACCTAGGGTGTCATTTGACGACAAAATGACAAAACTACCAATTAGAGGACACGTGTTATGTCCTTGCTAGCAAGAGATTGTTTAAGATTGAATTCTAGTGATATTCTCGATCAGGCATTAGTTCTTTGTGGGCATAAATAAATTTTAAAATTATTCACCTTGGCAAATTATTATGGATGGTGGATTGATTTTGCTTTTAGTGTTTGATGATCTATTTCAATTTTAAATATTTAGTTTTTGATATTTTTGAAATTTTAAATTTTCATGGGCATTTGGGAATTTGGGGAGGCATTTTTAAACATTTGAGGTCCCCTTAGGTTGAGATTTTTTGTCAATACGACCATCATCGAAATACTTATGGGCAATTTTATTTTATTGTTTAAACCTTGTCAACTCTGTTAATTTACTGATAGAGAATCATGTTTATTGTCAGCTTTATGCCTTTATAAATTAATTTTCCTTGTTGTAGGTTTTGAAGGCCTAATATGAACGTATAAAATAAATTTTCTGGTCAACACCATGACTATATTTTATTTAATGGTTTGAGCCATGTCAACTCCTATTTATCCATATAGAAGAATCAAGCTTGTACTTGAGTTTAATTCTTAACCTGTGCAACATCCTTAGATGTCACGTATGTGCATACATCACACTCGTTGGGGCCCATGTGGGTGTCTACTTTTACTGTTTTACATGTATTTTTGCATAATGTATTTTGTGTAACAATTGTGTGTATGCAGTGTTATATGTGTGTACAACATATTTTTATATATACATGTATGAATGTGTCAACACTCTTTCGACACATTATGGGGCACTTTAAAATGCTTGACACTGATCAACTGTGCGGAGGATCATCATTTGAGTGTAAGCATCATTTATTTAAAATTTATAAATGTCTTCTATTAACTTGTACGGATGTTGCATATTTGGTGGTCTGGCGTTGCATTATGGTTATTTGATGCTTCTTTACATATGAGTTGTTATTTAGAAATGCGCAGGGCCCATGCACTTTGGAATTTATTAATGCCTTTTATTAATTCGCTCGTATGCATGCTATGGATCCAGTGGCATGGTGTGGCATGGCGTTGTAGGTTATTTGCCGCTTTATGCATGTATGTTATTGTGCACTAATGGGTCTCCGGCAGGTGTTCATAGATAACTGCATCTGCTAGATTCATTTTAGGCATTGTTGATGTTTCGAGCACAACAACGAAATCTGTTTCACAATTAGATATTGTTTGGGCAACTTGTGTGTCAATTCCCTCGATTTGCATGTCGTTACCTTGACATCCATGTTGATCTCCTTGCGCGACTTCAATTGAATGAATTCATGATCATTCTTGGGTATTGCCAATGCACTGAACACAACATAGAAGTTCGTTTTGCGATCAGTTATCATTTCTGATTTGACTGCGAGGAGTTCTCTCTTAGGAAAATTTGATGTTCTGACCGCAATGGAACACTCCGTTCAGTGATCGAAGGTCGTCTGACCCTTCAGGTCCAGCATCACAAGTTGTCCAAACTTATATCTCCATCTAGCAAAATTCATAATGAACCCTTCTACTCACTCCCTTTCTTTTAATGTGTAGAAACTTCCTCAATATGATGGGAAGAATAGGGTTTGTTGTACTCCACAAGAAATGAATCATAATATATTAATGTATCACACACATGGGTTTGCGCAGTATGAAATAATAAATCATATATCTTAAACTTTTCAAATTATAGCTTCGAGACATCAATGAAGAATTTTTTTGAACTTTATGTATAACAGAAAGATTGAGATTAAAGTTGGTATTATATATATAATATATGATTAATGGTTGTTATATGTGTTAAACTTATCTTATGTTGTACATAATTGTATAACACACATAAATATGCATGACCTCTATTTAATTAATGGTTGGACTGATCTTAGGATGCATCAAGAAACCTATAAACTTAGTGTTAACAATATTTTATGATAAAAATATTAAATTAGTAGCGATTATCATGGGTTAAATGTGAAGTACAAATTAGGGGTAATTTTAAAATCATTATTATAAGAGATGGTTCATGTCTAGTAGTTGAATATGAGATACTTGCTTTCCTCTTTATAGCTCTAAACATAAGGCTGCATAGAATTATGTGGAATAAACTAATAAAAATCCTCTCAACTACTATATTTACCATTGTATGATGAATTATGTCCTATAATAAACAAGTTAAGAGTTAATAATCCTCCATATAGATAAAAAATTACTGCCCATTGCTTTCCAACACAACAATCTGGTTTCTTTCTTCCTAAAGAACTCAACACATCTTCTCACATGCATTGATATGACCTCATAAGCATAGACGTGTGGTGATATTATATATACAATTGAAAGCATTTCAAATATATCATTAAAAGATGATTAAATTGGAATTAATTTATTTGAATTAGTAGTAAAATTTGGATGAGTTATTATAGTAGTAGTTAAATTATATTTATATTTTGATGGATACATTAACAAGCCTTACTAGATTTAAATGTTCGGATATTATTATTTGTTGACAAATATTATTGTAATAATACATTTTTTTAATTGAAAGCATTTCTAAATTTGTAGCCCTCAGCTCATTTTATTGGGTTTCTATGATTTCTATTTTGGGTTTGGTGCACTGGCTGTCTCTTGAGAAACTAATGTTCTCCTCCCACGCCACTGGTCAATAATTCCTTCCCTAGTGATGTTGATGTTGCATGTGAGGTTTCCTTGCAATGTCTTACCCAATTAAACACAAACTCCTATTCTACTCACACAATGTCGGTTTGTGGTGCCTTTGAAGCAATGTCTAGGACACACCGTGCAATCCCACGATGCCTTCCTAATAATGTCATGATCATAGGGGTGGTCTTACGTTTCAAACATCGTTAGTTCACAATGCCTTTTTAGCAATGTTGAGATCGCACACCGATTACCCCAAAATTCCTTCCTTAACAATGTTAAGGTCGCATAGTAATTGCCTAGTGATGCCTTCTATAGCAAGCTCTTGCTATGGATTACTCTTGTTAGAACTCTCGAGATATCTATCCCCAACAAGTTCAAACCTTTGAACTAGCACAAACAAAATTCAAACTTTTATTTAAACTAGGTTTCAAATTTTCTTTGAACCCCCATATTTGAACAAATTTTAGAAGTCAAATAAGTTCAAATTAATCTCATTCACGATGAAACTTAGAAAGTAGTTTGTTAATACAAGTGGGGATAATTTTATCAGAAAGCAAATTTTCAGACATATTTTTTCAAAGAAACAAACAACACCGATATTTACTCAATTGTGTGTATTATGAGATATATTGAATCATATAAATTAATTAAATATATGATTTAAAATTTTAAATATTTTATTAAGGTTTTCATATAAAAATGGTAATGAAAAAAACCTGTTGTTCTTATGATATTCCGATAAAAATTTTAATTGAAATGAGCTTTAAATTTTTATTTTAATTTAAAATAAATATAATATACATTATCTATGTAATATATTCATCTTATAATAAAATTTTAAAGATTAGGTTAATTTTACAATATTTTCTAAATAAAAAACAAAGAATTGAAGAGGTAGAACAAAATGCCTCTTTGCTCTGCGTTGATCACCGCGGCTTGCCAGAAACAAACACCCCATTTCTCCCTAGGATGAGGGAAGAAAAAACACACTTCTTTCCCTCGGCTCTCTCGAATTTCCCCCTCTCACAGTTTCCTCCCACTTTCCTCTCACGTCCGCCTCACGATTTTTGTTTCGGAGGAACCTAATTCCTGAATTGGATTCTCTTCCGTTGATAGCTCCAATCTGCAATCACTGATATGGGTGTGTACGACGGGAACCCGTCGAAGGATGCTGCCCCCGGTCTGGAACCACGGCCTATTTGGACCCCAGCCGCCGAGCCGGCCGCCGCTGGCCTCGCCGAACAGTTCTCGGCGCTAGGCATGGGCGATCCCTCTAAAGGCGGCCTTTTCCAAGTTATGAAGGCCATGGAGGACGCAGAGAGCACCATCAGGCAACAGGTAAGCTGTTTTCTCTTCGGGTTGTCACTAGCAGGCTGTATCGGCAAAAAAAATCACTAGTTTGTCACTTTTGGTTTCTCGAAGCCTACTTAGGAAATTTACGAATTAGTAATTGCTACCCTTCTTGTTACTTTGCTTCTTGGGGTGAAATGTAGCCGGAGTTTTAAAAGAGTTGGCGGTGATGGTAGTCAACGTCGAAGCTAGAGGTTGTTCTCCACACATCTTTTGGATTAGAGGCATCAGTATTTTTTTTTGCGAGAAAAGTATATTCTTCCAGACTGTGAACAAGTTTTATATTCAGTTAAAATTTGAATGGTGTCAATATAGGGTACTGCTAGGGTTTCCATGTTACAGTTGGCGAGTGGATTATACGGAATTACGGATCAAGTTGAAGAGTAGCTTAACGAAAATGTCCAATAGATTTGTGTATACATGGTAACCATGATTGATATTTTGTAAGTCAAAAAAAATTTTTTTCCCTCTTCTAATGATGGATATCTTATGTGATTTTGCATCTCAAATTCAATGAGGATTTATGAAAAGTATTGGTTTCTTTTGATATCTTCAGACAGGCTAGAAAGTGAGATTTCTGACGATGCTTTTAATTATATGTTTGAATAGGCTAAATATTATCACGGCCAAGACTCAACAGGCTTTGTAAAGAAATCAAATATTGTTTGTTTTCATTCTTAGTCTGACTGAACTCTGTATGAAGTGAACAACTTGATCCAGTGGTAAATCCATCTCTCTGCAATGCAGCAAACTGTTGTATGTTCATCTTTTCAGATGCCTATTAGCTGAAAATAGGGGGTATTGAACTATAATAGTAGAATATTAGCCAATTTTTTAATGTTTGACAACTAAAGTCAATAGCTTGCAAATTTTAATATCTGTTGGATAATAAATGGCATCTGCTTAATTATTTTTCATCTCCAGTCATTTTTTATCCATATATGTTAAAAAGGCAGGTCTTTGCGACTAGGAGATTTATTTCGAAGTTCCAAGATATTAGTAAGAGTAAATTTAATTTAATTTTATCTAGTACGAAAGCTAGAAACCGCTAGTCATCTAGTGGCAGTTACATGAGCTGCATGTTGACATGAAAAGCGAGGGAGCACATTGTACTTTACCAATAAATGGTTGGCAGAATAATATGCCTTTTGATAAAATGGTTTTATGGAACATTTGTTCTCCTGAACAATAGAGACTTTAGGAGAGACACTTTTAAGGAAAATATTCTTTTGTTGTTATATGTATTCCTCATATTCTTATCAGAAATTATGCCAGCCCAATTAATCAGCCAAATCAGCCTAACATTGGTAGCCTGACCCAACATCTTCTAGGTGAAATTAGAGCAGCATATTCACAAACTTAAATTTGACAAATTGACAAATGGACTTCAAGATGAATTAGAGATATCTAAAACATCATTGCATAATACACTTTATTTAGGAAGTTTTAATTGTACATGAGAGAAATTATTTTCAAAATTAACTAAAAAGCTAGTTTTACAAGGAGGGTAACTTCAATGTCTTACTCTATATTATGAAATTTTAAGATACTGGAAGTCACAATCCGTTTAAACTTATCTCATTGAACTGTCAAAGGCATGCATGCTTTCTTGACTATATAATTCGCTATCACACTCAGCTTACTGTATAACTTATCAACCAAATAATATGGAAATAATGATACGAAAAATGAAATTGTACTAGTACAAGCATAAGCTAGTTATGCTTTATCAATCCCTTGGTGTCAAAGGGCGAGTTCCTTTCTTTCTTTTCCCAAAAACAGTCTATCATTGGAGAAAGACTCTCCCGCGGCAAGGCCGTCCAGCTGCTTTCTTTATCTCGCTTGCCGCGTCTAGCTTCGGTGCCCCGGGGGTTAGACCGCTTGGGTGAGATTTTCTAGTTGAAGATGCAGTCAACGTTCTTCTCCCATTAGACTTGTACTTAGAGCGCCTTTTTTTGCTCTTTTTCCTTCCACATATCTGAAGATAACGATACCCCGCTTGACGTTTCTGGATCATATATATGGATCCCGCGCGCGAGTGGCAAGTACTTCGCTTCGTGGGCTCGATTCATTATGAATTCTACGTACTGCTCACATTTGTTGACATGCTGCTCTGCTTGCCTATACTCCATGGAAGCAGTTAGCTCCCCGAATCTCTGAGCTTCCTCTTCCAAATTCACATCATTTGGACCAGGTATGGTTCTTGTAATTTCGTGTTTGACGGGAGTCCAATTCGATTCGTCACTCGACCCCCTACATAGTTCTAGCCACTACTAGGTCCAACGTCGAGAATGAAAAAACAAAAGGCGCTAGAGAAAGGAGTACCTGGAACGTAAAGGAGGGTCTAAAACGGATTCGCTCAGAGCAGAGTAAGCCCTTCACACGCCAACAACTAGCTCTGGCTTTCATAGAGGGTAAGAGGAAATGGCAGGAAAGGTTGAAACTGACACTGGGAAGAACAAAAAAATGCATGCGCTTAGCGTTTTTCTGCGGGTGAAAAAAGAAAACTCACTCTTGTTTTTTAGAACGGAAGGAGAAAAGATTCCTCATATTAGGAGAGGAAGGGAAGCCCGCCTATCAGTCCAGTCCCCCTGAAAGTTTCAGTATTCCCTTTTCAGTTCCATTCCTGCGACTAAGAGCAGTTTCTTTTCTCTCTTTTTCGTAAAAGCAAGGCGCGTATAGCGTATAGATAGCAAGTTTTAGGGCTCGCCAGCTGCAGTCACTCTTCAAAAAGCAGTATCAGAATGAATTGTTCTTAGGGAGAAACCCTTCTTTTTCTCTTCTAGTTCTCTCTTTATTTGACAAGGGCGGAGAAGACCACTCAGAACAAGAAAAAAAGCATTTTCAAAAGGTTTTACTATCGCCTGCTATCGCGAGAACAGACTGCTATTGTTCGCCTATCTATTCTTTTTTTGTTTAGTGGCTCTTCAGTTTATTGTAAAAGTTTTGATGATGAGTAAATTTACACTTTTGGAAATGTACTACCGTCCGACTTTTCGTACCCGCCTCGTTAGATCGAGCATCCGGGACGGGTCGTGACATAGTGAGGATGGAGGATGAAGGAAGAACACCTTACTTGTCTCAAAAGAATTTTCACCTTTTCCATAGAAAAAGAAATTACCTTGCCCTTTGGCAATGAACAAAGATAATCAATTTGTAATTTTCAAGGTTTCATGTAGAGAGGCTATTAAGTTTCACTATCACAAGGTGATGATTTGTTTAGATGAACAGATGTATTAATTTCAAATCAGGTATGCAAGCATTTAAAAAAGGAACCACAAAATATGAGGGACACATAATGGGATTATATAGAAGTCTAATGGGTATTGCTTTGCACTTTGCATATGACACACAAATGACTTTTCAAATCAAAATAGGGTATTCCATGGATCTTTTTAGAGCAATTTAATAGAAAAACCTTTATTTATCTAATGGATTGACTTACATCTCCCAAAAAGAGCAGGTAATTATTAATTGAATAATATCTTGACATAAGGTCTTGCAATTTCATGAGTTTTTAATGGTATCAAATCTAACATTCTTAATGTTTAAAGTGTTAGAATTTTATTGGAAGAAAAGTTGTGCAAATATATTTGTTTTATTTGTTGACTTTTTGACTTTTTTTTTTTGGTGTGTTGTGTATGACATTTCATATGGTTGGACCGTTGGAGGTCTGAAGCGATTGAAGATATGAAATTATAGTATTTAAATAGTTATGGTAAACACATAATCATTTGTTGCAACGTTATGCAGTGGGTATCACTCTTTGTTGTATAAGAGGAATGCGAGTTGTGGTATCAGTTAGTTTGGACCTGTTTGAAATGGATTAATTTGATGAGGATGCAAAGAATAACAACTTGTTTATAAAATTTGAGCTGTTGGAAATTATTTCCTATATAATCCTTTATTAGTGGTGGCCATCTTTTTTGTTCTCTTCCTACATTTTATTGCCTTTTCCAATCAGAACGCTTAATTTTCTTTTACTTAGCTTGTAATATTGGTAGCCTTAAAGTTCAGGATGATGATGGTTTTGATGTCCTAAAATGGTCTCAATTTCATTATGGGTTAAACGGGGAGTGATTTTATCTTTAAAAAATTTGGCATAAAATCATTAGAACTACTTGTTTGTTCTGGTGACTAGCTCTTGTAAGTTTCAAATGTTGTCTAAGTTAATGATGCAAGCAAAAATTTGGGAAAAACCCCAAAATTTTGCAAGCAAAACACACGTTTCCTAGGATAAAAAAACACCAAAATATGAAAAATATGACAAACTACAACTTTTTATAAGATAAAGACTTATAAACTTTGATGCTTACAAACGACAAAATAAAGACACCTAAAGGAGCTTGCATTCATCGAGAAGAAAGATACAGGTGGGGTGGACACTTGTGGAGAGAAGAACGAGATAAGAAGTCCGAGACGAATGAGGAGAAGTTCGCAAGCTTTCCTAGAAGAAGAGAGGAATGGAATAAGCTCGCAAGCTTTTCCACGATGAAACCCGCAGGTTTAGGCTCCCAAAAGTTGCATCATATCATCTCTCTAAAACTCCCTAAACATCACATATATATAGGATAAAAGATGGAGCCAAACAGCCAACATCAACCTCCAACCAAACCAATTAGGTAAGGGGAAGAGGAAGGGCAATAGGCACCACAAACAGCTCCCAAAAATCAGCACAGGAAATGGGTAGGAGAAGCCACAGGAACACAGCCAGGGAGGGACCCGAAGAGCCAACACAGAAAACGGGTTGGAGAGGTCACGGGGAAACAGCTAGGGGGAGAAACCGAAAAGCCCACACAAGCACCCAGCAGACATTTCACGGGAACACGACAAAGAAGATACCAAAGAGACACAAGAAGGGGAAGAGAAAAGGGGCAATAATTCCACTCCAATAATGAGCTAAAGTTTTAGCTCAAGCATTTATGATCTAAAACCATGAAGATCTCAACATTTCAGCACACAACCAGAGCAGCCAAAGCCCAACCCAAGAGCAGCCAAGGCCCAAATCGAGAGACAACGACTTTCCTAATTGAATTAACTATGCAAAGTAATAGCAAGATGACAAAAATCTTAAGCAGCTTAGACTTTGTTGCTTCTTAGCAACACTACTGGAAATAGAAAAGACCTTTTAGACTTTAGTGAATATTTTCACTGTCAGAAGAGAAAGATTAGTACGTTCTTTGCTTGTATACAAGTTAATTTTATTGGAAAACTTGAATAAATCTCCTAGGAAATCTTGAAGATTAGCCTGCACGCATGATGCATGTACAAGAGTCCATGCCTTGTGTCTTTAGAAACATATTATGGGAAATACTGATCACACATGTTTACTTGAACAGTAGGCATTGTGGGCTCAATGTAGGGTTTAGAGTTTGCCAAGCTACTCTCCACATTAATACAAATATGATACCTTATTTTGTGTCGCAAATCACTCAACACTTTTGTCAATTTTGTTTTTCTATATTTTAAATTGCACTATTGTCCATAACAACTATTCATTGATTTTTTAGTTTTAATCACCCATGAAACAATTTGCATATGAGGATTCTTCTTTTTGAAACAACTTGCATGGCTTATTTCATTCTTTATGAGTTTTTTCTCAAATTTCATACCTTCCTATGAAAAGTCCATACATATATTAGCGCTGCTTTAACAGGAACATAGGTTTCGTTTGTAGCTACTTTCTTATTGCATTGCTTTTTAGACCTTTGTCACCCATACATTTTGTTATTGTTTTCTTGTTGCTTTTCATAAATTTTAGTGTTGAAAAGCTACTTTTGTGAACCATATATGTTGGAGTGTGGTCGCTATAAGAAGGCTTTTGTTCAATATTTAAAAAAATTTATGATACCAATAATTGTTTTCAGAGAAGCTCCTTTCCCCACAAATTTTCTATATCACCTTTACAAAAAGATTTACCCGTGCCATGAGGACTCTTAATCATGATGTTGGCCGAAATTTTTATTATTCCACTGTTCTGAGGCAATGAATTATCTCAGCTCTCTTTTATATAATTTAGTTGGAAATTGTCTTCTGGTTTTCTTCAAAATGTTTACCATCAGCTCTCTTATATAATTTCTGTGGTGGATAGCTGCTTTTGAGAACCATATTTGCTAGTGTAGTTGCTATAAGAAAACCTTTGTTTAATATCTAAAAAAAAATAATACCCATAACCATTTTTAGAGAAGTTTCTTTCGCCGCAAACTCCTCTAGAATCATCTTTACAAAAAGATTTGGCTACGCCATAAGGACCCTTAATCATGATGTTGGCCTAAATTTTTATTACTCAGTTGTTGTGAGGCAATCAATTATCTCAGCTCTCTTTTGTATATTTAGTTGGAAATTGTCTTCTGGCTTGCTTTAAGATGTTTACCATCAGAACAATTTACCTGACGATGTTAGGCAGTTAATCAATTTAACTAAATTGATATTTGTTTTGAAAAAAAAAAGATATTTGTTTTGAAAGTAGAAAAATAAACAAAGTCATTTAAGCATTTTTGATAGATTTCTTTTGAAGTATTAGACTGTTTTCAAGTACTTAAAATACTAATACTATATATTTTTGCTTTGTTTGATGAATTAGTAAAAAAACTTACATTAGTCTAAACTCTGAACTGTTTCCAAATCTCAAGGGATGTAGATTGACAAAGTCTGAAAGTTTGAATTTTTTTTTTCACTTGCCACAATTTTGGCATTTCTAGTAAATTCAGAAAAAAACTGTTCAATCTCTTATAATCAGACGATTAGCTTATTTCCCTATATTTGTTGCTTTAACTTAGAATTTCTCATTCATGTATTTAATGCAGGCTTTAGGATTGTATTTTAACTACAAATTACTTTTTGTTTCCGTAGTTGGATGACAATAATCACTTAAGAGAGCAACTTTTACAACGAACACGAGAGCTGGAGAAATATGTAAGCATGGACCCTTGCCTGTACCTTTCTTGCCCATCCCTTTGTGAACTTATACAAGTTTCCCGAATCTTTATAATGATGTTGACTTCTATTTTCTGAGGAAAATATGTTTTAACTTTTTCTTTACTCCCAGATGTTGCTCAGTATGCTCTTCATACTAAGTAACCTTCTTAAGTTCTTTGATAGATCTATGTAAATTAAAATTATGAAGTTCATTGAAGGTATCAACCATTTCATTTATATTTTTTAAATGTTTATTTATAGAATATACAGATTCTTGGGTGGTTGTTTTGGGAATTGGGATTCATAGTCGTTTTTCATAGTTTTGAGAGTTAGGATTCATATAGTCTTTTTTCCCTCACTCTCTTTCTATACAACTTCTAGCTTCTCAATTAATAGTTTTAATTGGTCACTCTCACTTCAGTCTGTACTCTGCATCTCATTTGTTGCAATAAAAGAAAATAATGCTAGTTTAGTTGTTAAACAGATTCCAGATAAGATAGAATAGTGATAGATGCACAATCGTTTAATACTTGTGATAGTGAATCATAGTTTTCCAAATCCTTGTATTCTAGATGACATTGAACATTTTATGAGGGTGCATAGATTTTCCAATTCTTGGTATTTAGAAATCAAGTCAGTAGAACCTTGGGAAATTGTTAATGAAATGCATTGATGTAAAGCTTGGGAATTTGTTAACGAGATGAGTTTCCCTTCACAGCAGATTTTTGTTGTATGGCGTCCAATATTTTCTTTTTTGTCAATCTTTAGTCTTAAAACAGCTATTTTAGGAATAAAGCATTTCTTTTCATTGGTGTTCTCAAATGATTATTATTCTAGTTGCACTTATTTGATTTCCTCCTTTTCTTTCTGGATTGTTATCTTCTTCAGAAATTAGAATCTGTGACTAGAGGCGCTTCTGCTGATGACTTGATAGATGAACCATCCTTGGGAATATATGAAGCTCATGCGACAAATTATTCAGTTGGAAATGAAGCAGACAAGGTGAAATTAATGAACCATGGGCCTTCAACAAATTCGGATGGTTTAGTAATTCCAAGAGATGGTATCCGAGGAAGTGATGGGCCTTTCTTACGACCTAACTCTAGAAACCATCAGTATTCTGAAGGCATCAAAGTGAATGGGAATTTGAAGGTCTCTGCTGGATTGCAGGGTGTTCCTGACAGTGCTGGTCAATCTCAGTTCTCGACACCATCTTCAAGGTCTATTTCTCCAAGCAGGTCATTGTTGCCATTTGTTGCGTCATTTCTTGTTTTATATGACCACGTATTTAATTGTGTGAGGAAAACGAAGACAACGTCCATTTTGATCCTTCAAATGTGTTTACTCAGGCATCGAAGGGAAGGAGAGTATGAACCACGGCTCAATTCAGCAGGGCATGGGCTGATGCCAGTTTCTGAAATGAACTCAAACGTACTCTGGAAACAGGTATTTTATGTCTATACTGTATTCCTGCTTCTTCAGTCACTAGGCTTTTAATGGAATGTTGGTAATCCCGCCATAGGATCTTATTATTAAGGTTAGAGAGCATGAAGAAGAGATTTCAATGTTAAGAAAACATCTTGCCGACTACTCAATGAAGGTAATTAAGCATATTGATGCCCTTCATTAAAATCTGGTTTTTCTTGACCTGGTGCCTGTGTTTTTTCTAATAGGAAACTCAAATGCACAATGAGAAGTATGTTCTAGAAAAGCGCATTGCTTATATGCGAATGGTAAAGGCTTCTAAAATTTGACTTGTTAATCTATTGTTGTTTCTGCATTCTTGCCATTCTATTATGATAAGTGTTAAATTTAGAGAATCGGGGAGGGAAAGGCTTAATTTTATTGCACAAAACTATCCCTATTTATAGATATATACAAGATATCTTAATAAAGAAAAAAATAATTACAAAATCATGTATAATTGCTTTAATATAATCATTCCTAAATCAGCTAACTAAATATGGAAGGAGGTCGACGTGATCTAGGTGAGCCTTCCACTGATTCCCATCTTACTCGTGGGATCAAAATGCCAAGAGACAGCTGAGATTTAACAGGTGAACCTCCCAATGATTCCCATCCTAGGAGTGGGATTAAAATGCCAAGTGACGGCTAGGATTTAATACTCCCCCTCAAGCTAGAGAATACAAATATATCATTCCTAACTTGGTGTGGGCTCCGAAAATTCGGCCCCGGCCTCCCCGCTCGCTTTTTTCTTTTTTATTCGGCGAGGGAGTTTTAACTGAATAAGTTCCGAGGTAAATTTTGGAAGGCAGATGGGTTTGTAGATAAGACACTACCCAAAGATTTCGCCCTCATTTTGTGAGGACTTTATGATCTGAGTTTTTGTTTCCTATAGGCGCAAGCCCCTATAGTTAATTACCCCTCCCGATCACGAGAGAGAACTTTCGATTAAGGCTAGTCGTCAATCAGATACGTATAGAATACGTGTTATCTGGCATATAGTAGCAGCATGGATTTGGATTTTTGGAAATGTTTGGAAGTTTGAGAATTTGAGAAATTTCGAAAAAGTTTTATATTTAAAATAGACATTTCACCATCTTGCACATAAAACGAATGGTGGGAGAATGGATGATAGACCCGATCAAGATCCCATGGTTCCGTCATCCCGGGCCATCGTGGTCCCTGGTCTACTTAGTCAGAGGAGGTAGTCGACCCAACCTGACAGAAGGATCCTTATCGGCAGCCATGGGTTACTTTGTCCAAGGGTATCTTGTAGACCGGGGGTGAATGTTTGTCTAAGGGGACAAATTTAAATCCACCTTAGCTAACAGAGGGCTTTGTGCCCTATCAATCATATCATATTGATTCATATCTCAAGGATTTGATGCCAATAAGCGCAACAGCCTTGTTGAGGTAGAGATCCTTCTTTCTCTCTCTCTCTCTCTCTCTCTCTCTCTCTTTTTCTCGGCTTGGTGAGGTCGGGAGGAGCAAGGAGTTTGCGAATAGAAGTCGTGGGAGGGAGAGGTGTCGTATGGGAGGAAGGAGGCGGGATCTGTGACAGGGAAGGAGATCGGGAGGAGAGGAGTTCGGGAGCTTGCGAACTGGAAAAATGGTCCCGATGGCTTCGTTCGCTCGGATATTTAACGACGTGCAATGGCGCTCGATCGATGCAGGTCGCAGGAATCCCGCGAGAAACGTCGGCTGGATTTGCGGGATTTGATCAGTTTGGCGCCGAATCGGCGTGATTTCGGGATTCAACGGACATGAGGTATGTATGTAGGATTTCTATTTTCCTTCTCTTTTGTTTCCTTTTGGGTATAACATGAGGGTCAACACTTGGTAATCAGTCCTAGAAAATAGAGTTATCAATTTCCTTGGTAAGAATATTTGCAAGCTAATCTTTTGATAAGACATGATTGGTACATATAAGACCATTGTCTAATTTCTCCTTTATAAAATATATGTTCACTTCTATGTGCTTGGTCCTATCATGCTGAACCGGATTATGAGCTATGCTGATTAATTGTCACAATATAGATTCATGGGTCCTTCCCACTTAATTCTTAGGTCTTCTAGAATCATCTTGATCCATAGTAGCTCACATATTACCAAGGCCATAGCTCTATATTCCGCTTATGCACTAGACCTTGCCACCACATTCTATTTATTGTTTCTCCATATAGCAAGGTTTCCTCCAAAGAATGTGCAGTATCCTGAGGTACATTGTCTATCTATTGGTGATCCTGCATAATCTACATCAGTATATGTTTCTAGGATTATTCCACAGTCCTTCTGAAGAGAATCCCTTTACCTAGGTTCCTCTTAAGGCAGTGTAGTATTTTTTTTACATCTTGCATATGAGTCTACTTTGAATCTTGCATGAACTTGCTGACCCTGCTTACAACAAACACTATATCTGGTATGGTGTGGGAAAGGTAGATTAATTTTCCTACAAGTCTCTGGTAGGATCCTTTATCTACATTTGTATTTTCTTTAGCTTCATCCAATTTGAGATTTGGTTCTACTGGCATTGGTGCTAATTTACAAGCTAGTTTGTCTGTTTCTTTATGAAGATCGTTAATGCATTTTTGCTATGAAATGAAGATTCCTTTGTTGGAGTGGGCCACTTCAATTTCAAAAAAGTATTTTAATCTATTAAGATCTTTGATCTTAAATTCCTTGGCAAGACATTTCTTTAAAATCACTTTTTCCTTTTCATCATTCCCAGTTAAGATGATATCATCCATATAAACTAATATAATTGTGACTTCCCCTAAGTTTGAATGCTTGAAGAATAATATATGGTCCCCTTGGTTCTGCCAATACCATTAAGTAGCATAACTTTTGAGAATCTTTCAAATCACGCTCTACATGACTGCTTTAGCTCATATAAAGTCTTTTTAATCTGCTCACTTTTTTATCTCCAGATTTCTCCTCGAATCATGCTGGAATCTCCATAAATATTTATTCCTGCAAGTCCCCGTATAGGAATGTATTTTTGACATCTAACTGTTTTAGATGCCAATTGTAATTAGCTGCTAATGAGAGCAATATCCTCACGTTGTTCATCTTGGCCATCGGTGCAAAAGTTTCTTGGTAGTTAATGCCGTATGTCTGAGTGTACCCTTTCACCACCAGTCTTGCCTTATACCTTTTCAATGTACCGCAGCTTTGTATTTCACAAAGAACACCCATTTGCAGTCGACTGGTTTTTTCCTATTAGTAGGTTGGTGACCTCCCATGTATTATTCTTCTCCAGGGCCTGCATTTTATCTTTCATGGCACTTTTCTAATTTTCATTAAATAAGGCCTCATAAATATCATTAGGAATATGAATATCATTTAGTATAACCAGAATATTTTTTTGTGTGGATGTGAGAAGTTATGGAAGGATACAAAGTTGGTTATAAGGTTCAAGGGAAGTTTTTTTTGGTGAACTTGTATTTACCTCAATTTCAGGAGATAGTTCAGATTCTTGCATCTGCTCTGGGGCATAATTTGGATTTGTACGCCTGGAATACACTTGTCAAAACCTCATGTTCCATAATAACTTTGTCCTTAGTTTCCTTGGCTTTGATTTTAACTTTATGTGGATTGATTTGAGGTGGAGCTTGAAGGTCAAGAGGGGCAAGCTCACTTTTCTTATATTCCTCAATTTCAGTCTCCCCATGAAGATGAGGTTTGTTGAAATAGGGTTTTTGTTCATCAAAGGTAACGTCAATAGATACAAGAGTTTTTTTGGTGGAGGGATGATAACCCTTATAACTTTTTTGGGTTGATGAATATCTAACAACGATACATTTGAGTATTCTTGGATTTAATTTTCTTCTATTTTGGCTATGAATATGAACATAGATAGTGCACTTAAAGATTCTAGGTGTAATGTTATTATGAGTTCATAATTCGAGGTAAAAAGATGATAGAATATCCATTAGTGTTTTTAGTCCCAAGGTTTTTCAAGGTAATCGATTTATGAGATATGTGACAGTCAGAAGGGCTTCCCCCAGTTGGATTTGGGTACATTATGGTGGAATAAAATTGTATGGGTGGAGACTAGAAGGTGATCATTTTTCCTTTCCGCAACCCTGTTTTGTTGGGGGGTGTGAATGTAGGAAGGCTCATGAATGATACGTTCTTTTTGAAAGTAAGAGGATAAGATTTGGTTAAAGTAATCTTAGCATTGTCTAAACGAAAGTTTCTTTTTCTTTTTACCCCGAATTAGTTCTGAATCATGATATGAAAAATGGTGAGGATAGTGCTAACATCTGATTTGTTTTTAAGGAGAAAGATCCAAGAGACTCGAGTGCAAACATCAATGAAGGATACAAACCATCTGGCTCTTGAGATGTTAGGGGTTTTTGATGGTCCCCAAAGATCACTATGAATAAGGTAAAATGGAGTATTACATCTCTGATGTTTGTTTGAAAAAAAAAACTCATTTATGCTGGCTAACTCACAAGTTTCACAATGAAAAGATTCATTTTCCAACTTATAAAAAATAATTGAGTGCATATTTCTTAAGACATCAAAAGATGGATGTCCTGATCTAAAATGGTGAAGCCAAATAATAGATTTTTTTTTATCAAATAGGGATAATATAAAATAACCATTATTGATAATATTAGATTTGTTAATCTCTTCCAAGTAGTACAGTTCATCTCTCTCATTTACAAGCCTAATCTTCTTTCTCGATCTCTGGTCTTGAAATAAACAACAAGTAGGGTTAAATAAGACTTGACAATTATGGTCACTGGTAATTGAGGACTATGTTTATGGATAATTGAGGTATGTGGAGCATATTTTTTAGAGCGAGGGAGAGAGATAAGGGTATTGCCTCCTTGGCCTGCTACTGTGGTAAGAGAACCATCAACAATGATGACTTTCTTGTCACTTGGGCAAGAAGTATAATTGATGAAGTGGGTAATAGAGAGTGTCATGTGATTTATGGCTCTTGAGTCAATAATCTATAATCCTTTCAAATAATTTCTAGAGGCACTTAAGTCCAATGTATATATAAAACTTACCTGAAAGTACAAAAGAAGAAGATGCAGGTGGTTTTTCAAAGGATACCAGAAGTTGTTTTAATTCATCAATATCTTCTTTATTAAGATCTTTGAAGCTGAACTACGTTTCTAAGTTAGGCTGATTTGTGTAGTGTTGTCTTGAGATGTGTCCTTTTATCTGCTTCTTTGATTCCACTCCTTATTTGGGGGCTTTCCATATATCTTCCAACATGTCTTCTTTGTATGTCTTGATTTCTTGCAATAACTGCATCAAAGAGAGTCTTTGTCTTTAGGTTTTGAGGAATCCTTACTTTTTTACTTCCATCATGCTTCTTTGGTTGACACCATTGCTGAACCTTAAACTGTCTTTGGCTCTAGCATTACTCGTCATCGGCTTTCCTCAGCATGAATAAGAGAAATGATCTCGTTTAATGAGGGTGTCTTATCTTTTCCAAGGATCTGAACTCTAACCTGATCAAATTCCACATTTAATCGTACAAGAAAGTCATACATTCTATCTTTCCCAATAAAATTTTTCAGGATAACAGCATCTTTTGGACACTTGATTTTCATGCATCTATAGTGATCAAGTTATTGTCACAAGTTTTGAAGGAGAGTGGCATATTCGGTTACAATTTTGCTTCCTTGTTTTGTGCTTCCCACATTGACCTTAATTTCAAAGATTTGGGCAGCATCCCGAGCCTTTGAGAAGGTTTGCCTGGTGGCATCCCATATGTCCTTTGCAGTAGATAGGAATATAAAATTATCACTAATTTATGGAGTCATGAAATTCCACAATCATGACATAATCATGGAGTCCGTTTCATCCCATGCCAAAAAATAAGGATCTCATTCTTTTAGTCCTACCCTAAGGAGGTGATTCAACTTTCCTTTCCCTTTCAAGTAGGTCTTCACAAATTGAAACATTTTTAAGTAATTCTTTCCATTTAAGCAATAGAAAGGTTGCATATTTTGGAGATCTCTTCTTCCATGGTGCATCATAGAGTCCTCCATTTGGTCAAAGCTTTGGGAGGAATTTGCTTTAGACATTGTGGCAGCAAATGATAGTGATGAAGGCTATATCAAGCTGGGCAACAATGAAGTTTGCGTTGGTTATAGATAGGATAACAACAAGGGAAGGCCAACAATGAAGGCACAAATTTACAAAAAACTCAAAATTCCGGCAATGACAATGAAGGCTCTGATACTATTTTAAATTCAGAGAATTGGAGAGGGAAAATGCTTAATTTTATTACACTAACTATCCCTATTTATAGATCTATACAAGATATTTTAATAAATATTCAAATAATTACAAAATTATGCATAATTGCTCTAATATAATCCTTCCTAAATCAGCCAACTAAATATGGAAGGAGATCGGCGTGATCCAGGTGGGCCTCCCATGGATTCCCAAAATGCCGAGGGATGGCTAGAATTTAATAGGCGAGCCTCCCACGGATTCCCATCCTAGCCGTGGGATTAAAATGCCAAGGGACTGCTAGGATTTAACAATAAGAAAATTGTTGGCTGCCCAAAAAAGCATGTTAAGAAATAAATGGGCGACACTAGTCATTTTTTTAATGGAGAGAAAGTGAGAGTTGGACCCATGCAGCTCCTCATTTCAGTTTTTGAATGGTCCATGCTTTTAACTGAAAGCTGTTCTGCAATGTTATACTGATGCTATAACTTTTCCTTTTAGGCATTTGATCAGCAGCAGCAAGAATTGGTTGATGCTGCATCAAAAGCTCTTTCCTATAGACAAGACATAATTGGGGAAAACATTCGCCTAACATACTCATTACAGGTACCTACCTATTCCAGTTTATTCTTTTATATTAATAATAAAATAGTTAGATGATGTTATTCATTTTAAGGCTAATTCTGATCTGTTTTACTTGTTTCATTATACGCATTTTAATTCAAGAATTATAATGCACAAAATTTGTTCTCTGCATAGCCCTTCTGTACAGTCAAGTTTGTCTTGTCATGAGAAATTTCGTTTGTAACTCCTGCAAGTTTTCTTATTTTGTTTTTCAAATTTTTTGTTGAGTTTTTAGTTCAAGGCACTATTGTGTGATCTGTACTTCTCTACAGGCCGCTCAGCAAGAAAAGACAACTTTTGTTTCTTCTTTGGTGCCACTTCTTTCAGAATATGGTCTCCAGCCTTCTGTGCTTGATGCTCAGTCCATTGTTAGTAATCTGAAGGTTTGTGGATTGCTTTTTTTAGGATAAAGGCATTGATTTCTTCCCCATAAATATATATTTTTTTTCTTATTATGCTACACCATTTATTTTGGAAGCATTAAACGTAATCGTACTACTAGGGGATCGTGGATAGTGTGTGGGACTACTATATGAAGCAGGGAATAGGTTTGTGAACTCTGTCATACTCTGTTAAATCTGTAGTTATTGGACGTCTTGTTTATAGATAATGGGGCATGGGTGTTTCTAGGATTGAGGAATTTCCTTTTTTTCTATTGCATGAATATGGACTGATGATCACTCACAAATTGGATTTATTTTTTTCGCTTGGACCATTCCTAGCTCGGATCAAACTTGAATTGAGGTTGGCTTAATTGAGCATGGCTAACTCAAGATCAAATCAAAATGTTAATAATAATAATAGTAATGCATATTTTAGAAAGCAATTTTTTGGAATTTTCCTCCCAAACTTTTACGTAACTGGTAGAGGGTCAATTCACATACATGTTTCTACTTGTACATTCTAGGAAACTATAGATATTACCACATATAATTAGAGTACAATTCATCATATAAAGGCCTTCTAATGTACTTTTATTTATTTATTTTTAGCCACCCTTTCTTTTTCTTTCATGCACCTTCCAACCCATCCTTCTATTACCTTCCTTTGTTGGTTGTCTGCTATCTACCGTCTGCAGCCATTTAAACCATTTTATGTTTGCATTTTCGCTAGTTTTAGTCCAGCCCAATCTTCCCTTTTTTTCCCTCTCCTCTGTTTGATTCCATTTTTTGTTGACTTCTAATTGCCTAATCAACAATTTTCCACTTTGTGCGTTCCATAATTGGCATTCAGATCTTCACCATCCCCCTCAAGTTGGTTGGTAGAGGTCTAACATCCCTAGTTTTACCAAAATATTTCTGAATGTTTGATCGAATAGTCTTTTGGTGAATATATCAACTAGCTGATTTTCAATTGCAATTTGAGGCATACAAAGCAGTCGGCTTTCAAGTTTTTTTTTTTTTTTTTTAAAATATCTTTTCGTCTCCACATGTTTTGTTTGATGATGTTATATTGGAATATGAGCAATACAACAACAACATCATCATCATCAAACCTTTATCCCACTATGTTTGGTCGGCTATATGAATCCTTTTTCTCGATTGTGCTCTGTTAAAAGTTAAATTCTCATTTAAATCTAATAAAGAAATGCCATTTCTAATATTTTCTAACCAAGTTTTTTTAGGTCTATCTCTACCTTTTTTAACATAAGTCAAATTTAATACATCTACTTGCCTAACCGGGTTATTGGAAGGCTGCCGTTTTATGTGACCAAACAATCTAAGGCGCTCTCTAATTTTATCTTCCATTGGAGCTACTCCAACCTTTTCATGTATATGCTCATTTCATGATATGATTATGAGCAATGCCAATGAAAAATTTGTTGCTATAATATAGCCTTATGGGTCATTCCAATTTAATTCTTTACAACAACAACAACATCAAGCCTTTATCCCATTGCGTGGGGTCGGCTACATGAATCTTTTTTCTCCATTGTGTCCTGTTAATAATCAAATTCTCATTTAAATCTAATAAAGAATGGTCATTTCTAATATTTTCTAACCAAGTGTTTTTAGGTCTGCCCTATCTTTCTTAACATAGGTCAAATCTAATACATATACTCCCCTAACAAGGCTATCAGAAGGCCGGCGTTTTACATAACCAAACCATCTAAGGCGACTCTCTCTAATCTTATCTGTCACTGGAACTAGTCCAACCTTTTCCCAGATATGCTCGTTTTGCATCCTATCTCTAAGAGTAAGTCCACTCATCCACCTGAGCATCCTCATATCAGTAACACAGCTTAATATTATGTTTCTCTTTTAATGGCCAACATTCTGCGCCATAAAGCATTGCAGGTCTCACCTCTATCTTATAAAAATCTTACTTAAGATTGAGTAGTACTTTTCTACCACACAACAAACCCAAAGCATTCCTCCACTTCAACCATCCAATTTGAATTCTACTAAAATATCCCCATCTATTTCACCATCACTAAACAATAGACCCAAGATATCTAAAACGAGTACACTTATTAATGACTTGATCTCTCAAAGTTACAAACCCCTACTAAAATTACACTTCATGTATTCGATGTTAGATCTACTCAACTAAAAACCTTTAGACTATAAGGTCGACCTCCATAATTCGAGTTTACCTTTAACTCCCTCTCTAGTCTTATTAACAAGAAGAATATCATCAGCAAAAAGCACACACCAAGGTGCATCCTCTTGCAAATGTCTAGTGAGAACATTCATGACTAAAGAAAAAAGATAAGGGCTTAAGGCTAATCCTTGATGTAATCCAATTGAAATAGTGATGCTATCAAGAATTTATGTATTTTTTTTTTAGCTATCCAATGATGGGAAAGCATCCAATGATCATGGTAGGTTGTGCATAGGGCTTGGTAGACCTTTGGTTTGCTGGCTTGATTGGTCCATTTTCTCCTACTGGTTCACGGGTTGGTTGGAGGAGGTTTGGATGGAGCTCATTCTCTTAGTTGCTTGAGCTGAAGTTTAGTAGCTCATTAATGTCCAAAAGGTAGCTCATTATGAAGGATTCAATGATGGGGTGGACTTGTCGCTTCTCCTTCCCCTTTCTTCTTGTCTCTTGGGAAACCGTGGTTTGTGTTTTAATTGTGGCTGATTTCTATGAATAGCATTCAAGAGGAGTTGCTGTTTTTCGAGCCTTTATCTCTTGGAAATCCGGCCAGCTGCTGTTTTTTTCGTGCCTAGGCTCTTTCTCGTGACCGTGACTCCTTGGTTCCGTGTGACCTGCTTGGCTCCCGTGAATGCCCCTTCGGTTCCTTGGCTTGGGCAGTTTTTTCGTGAAAAGCAAATGAATTTCATGAACCTGGTGCTTGGGTTCTTGTGGAAAATTAATATATGACTTTTGGCATTCCCCTATCTTGCCTATAAATATGAGAAGATGTTGTGAAGGAAGGGAGTTGATTATTGTGAGCAAAATTGCTATTGACCTGCGGGTTATTGGAAAAGCTTGCGAGCTTTGTCTGCCTTCTTTCTCATCCCCTCCGGAAATCTTTCGAGCTCTTTCCAACCTTTCGTCTCGGCTTATAACATCTTTCGTCTCTCCGCAAGTGCCACTCCATCTACATCCTTCTTCTCAAAATGAAGCAACTTTAGGGTGTCGTGACTTGGTTGATTTGAAAGCATTTGTTGGAGAATCTTGCAGTGGTGGACCATCAGTTTGCTAGTCTTATGCACTTATCTTATTTAACCTACAATTCGATGCATGTGAGGAACCCGCTCTGACGGTTGTCTGAGGATAGCATCTTTTATTTTCTTAATTTTCTTAAAATCTCTTAGTGTTTTCTTGTTGGATTTTGAAGTTTTAGTTATTTGCTTTATTTTAATAAAGTTTGGTTTAAGTTCTATCCATTGTTCTCTTTGTGTTGGTTTTCTTACTTGTGTGTCTACATCAAATAGGAAAATACTTAGTCGAACCACCTTGTGTTTGAACACAAGTAACAATTCTACATACATATCTCTAATGACTTGAATATAAGCATTATTAACCCCCTTCTTTTCTAGAACTCTCCATAACACTTCTCTTTAAACTTTATCGTATGTTTTCTCTAGACTAAACTTCTCCATAAACCCTCTCAATAAATGAATAACTTCCATAGTAGACTTACCCGACATGAATCCAAATTGATTTTTGAGAAACATTAGTATCACGTCGTAACCTATGCTCCATAACTCTCTCCCAAAGTTTAAAAGTATGTCACCTCAACTTAATTCCTCTATAATTCACATAATCTTGTGCATCACCTTTATTCTTAAAAATATTAATCAACACACTCATTCTCCACTCATCTGACATGTTTTTAGTATTCAAAATAATATTAAAAAGTTAAGTAAGCAAGACATTCCTTCATTTCCTAATCATTTTGGAATATCATAAGGTCTGCTAGTTTTTTCACACTTCATTTTCTTTAAAGTCTCTCTAACTTCAATTTTACTAATACGTCGATAAAAATAAAGATCACTAAAATCAATCATATTCTCACAATCTTCTTTGAAAAACTTAGCAAAATATCTCATCAACCTTTGTTGAGTATTCTCTTCTAAAAAAAGCACTTTTTGATCTTTATCCTTAATGCACTTTACTTGAACTAAATCCTTACTACTCTTATATCTTTGTTTGACTAACTTATATATATATATATAATCTTTCCCCTTTTTAGAATATAATATATTATATAAATCATTAAAAGCTAAAATCTTTGCATCACAAATTGCTTTCTTAGATATCTTACTAGACTTTTTATATCTTTCCCAATTTTTAGAGTTTTTACATTTAAACCAATTATTTTAACAAAGCTTCTTATTTTTTGATCTTTTCTTGCACATTTTAATTCCATCACCAACTATTTTTATTATTAAAATTTTTTCTTTTGAAATTCCAAGCAGATCCTTTGCAACATTCTCAATATTACTAGCTACTTTATTCCACATAATATTCGCTTCCTCAGGCACAAACAAAATCTTAAGATCATGAATCTTACTCTCAAAAATATTTTTGTTAGTGTTTTTTAAAAGCCCGCATCTAATCTTAAAACAACGTTTTACTAAAATTTTTATATTCTTCCCCTTCATTTTAAAATTCAAAATTAATAAACGATGTTAGGTACATAAACTTTCACTTACAATAATTTTATAATTTTTACGATCTAAATGATATATTTTTCTTATAAGAAAATACTCAATCTTAGTTTTACTGTATCTATTCTTATAAGTGATGAGATGTTTATCTCTTTTCTTAAATAAGATATTAACAATCATAAAATTATATGCTAGAGCAAAATCTAATATAGTCTTACCGCCTTCATTAGTCACTCAAACCAATAACCATCATGAATACTCTTAAAATCCTATACCTCTCTACTAACATGTCCATTTAAATCTTCTCCAATAAAAACTCT